TAATCCTACTAAACAAACAGACCCTAGGGATACTCCAAAACTTTTCCCTTGATACTATACAACTTTTATTGATTTTATGGTAAGTTCATAACTTCTTATGTATGTTTATTATTTTTATAAACTATGATTTAGAGTTTTTCATTTAGTTTTGATGATTCTATGTTGGCTTCTTTGGACGCAAAAGGAAAATAATTTTTTGAGCAAAAAGAATGAAAGTCGAGATAGTTTGCATGATGCTTCATTATTTTCATAATTTAAATATATACGACTTGTATGGGAGCTAATTNTTAATTATCCTTTTATTCACCGGCTAAGCAAGTTATAGGTTTACATCAAAAAAAAAAAAAAATTAAATCAACAGATCAATAGTTGTACACTAATGAGCAGAACATGAATTTTAATTTAATGTTAATTTTATGAATTTTAACTTAATGAATTTTAATTTTATGAATTTTAATTTAATTTTAATTTTGGAAATTTTAATTTAATGTTAATTTTATGAATTTTAATTTAATTTTAACTTTATAAATTTTAATTTAATTTTAATTTTATGAATTTTAAATTTATAATTTTGAACTTTAAATGTGAGGTACAAACTCTTAAAAGTTAGGTTATAACAATTAAAGGTTAGGTAATATTACAATAATTAAAAATAAAATTACTATCCGTAAAAGTGATAACTCTTAAAGGTTAGGTTACAACAATTTCAGGTTAGGAATTAAAGATTAGGTAAAGTTATCACAACTAAAAGTGAGGTTACAAATATTTAAAGTTAGGTTACATGGAGTAAAGGTAAAATATACCACACAAAAAAATGGCGTCTGAAGATACAAGTATTTGAGGTGAGTTACAACCCTTTAAAATAATGTTACTATATTTATAGATAAAATTATCATCTTTAAAAAATAATATTTAATAACAAAAAATTTACCGTCACACACATTTAAGTAATATTAAATGTCAAAAAGTTTATAGTCACACCTTATTTTCGGTAAGGTACCGCTGTTTGACCGGGCCGTACAATGATATCATTTGTCATTTCATTCTATTATATCAATTATATTTTGACAAAGTTATTTGATAAAGAAATCAGAGATGTTATAAATAATAAATATATTAAAATAATGACATAAAATCACAAATAAAATAAAATAATAATAATTAATAAAATAGTGCTTAATACCAGTGCAACTTGCAAGAAAAGGAGAGCAACATGAAAAATTAACTTAAAAATAAATTATGTCATTAAATTCCATCCTAATAAAATTATTGAATTAGGTTTGTTAATTGATCAATATTTAACGATTTCAAAATTATTCACTAAATTATGTTTTAATAAAATTATTGAATTAGGTTTGATAATTGATCGAACGAATTTTAATCTTTATGGTTTATAAATTTCACACGATCCAAATAATTCGATTAAGTTAAATTTTAAAAAATTCTTTTTTTAATTTTAATTAAATTTTATCAAATAAGATATTATTGTATTATGCAACATAACAGATTCAAAATAGAATTGGGTTATTGGATAATATTTTTTTCAAGAATTAAGATATTAATTATGAAAGTAAAATCTATTAAATGTTTGATGTCAGATTTTTTAATTTGACTCTTTAAGCTGCTCTCTTTCTCTTGCAAGTTTGACCGGTATAAACACTACTTTATTTAATACTATTATTTTATTTGTGGTTTCATATTATTTTTTTATTCTATTTTTTATTTATAAAATTTCTGGTTTATGACCCAGTAGTCCTAATAATTTTACGGGTGATAGTTTTGTTGAGATGATAAATGATGCTATTGGCTCATTGCTTGCGACCATGGAAGACATGAAAAAACAGGGAGCGGTAGAAAGCGTATTCCTCAAATACGCTTTTAAAATTTTATTTTTTTAATATTAAAAGTGAGGTTGTTGATCTCATTTTTATTATAGCGGATTTATTAATTTTCTTTTTAAAAGTATTGTAAATTGATAAATAAATTCAAAACTATTGTAAATTGGTAATATTGTTTTTTAGGTCTTTCGGAGGCCGATATACTTAATTAAACTTATTACTATTTGTTAGAATATTTTAACTAAAAGAGTATTTTTATGTGGGAACTCAATCCCACATCGACTAAACATCTCAGGATATTTGAGTATATATATGTACTAGTATTATCTAACCTTTGAATCAAAAAGAGGTCTTGAGACTCTCACGTACGCAGGGATGAGACTAGCGGAGGAGATGTTGGTGTACCTAGTCCACGACCTGTGTAGTGGGTCCCCCTGACTCGCCTAAATGAAATAAAATATTCACTACTATTAAACCTATTTTTTTAATATTTTGTTTAATTATTTTCTGTCATTAATTCTATATTAAAATTTCAGTTGTTGAATACTAAAGACCTCCGACAGCTAGTATTCCAACAGTCATATTCTCTGAATTATTATCCAATTAAATATAGAAGTAATTACAACCTATTAAACACATATTATTTGTATATATATACAAGTATTTTCAATATAGATATATACAATATATCATATCAACTATCTTCTTACAATAAAAAAGTTCTAGACAATATTCAAAGGATGTGTGTGAAGCTTCTGCTTCATTCGATTGTGTAGATTTGAGCGAAGCAACAGTCAAAAAGTTGTGTTGTTGTATCCTGGGGATGACACATCACTATCTTCTGCACTATGATTCTTTCATAAAGGGGCGCAAATCGTCTTAAGAGAGCGATCTAGTCCGCGCCTTACCCTGCCATTCACATTATTTGTATCCAATTTCCAACACTATTTAAGTCCATCAAGTAAACTATTTTAGAAAGAACTTTACTAGTAAGAAATAAAATTACGCTACCTTTCAAAACAATATATCAATTGTCAAACTGGATTAGGAAACTCATAATCTCATCTTTTTTATTCACAAAAAAAAAAAATATTCTCATTAACCAACTCCCTCGTTCAATGCTAATCACTAAATAATCTAATATGAAAAAGATCTAAAATTAAGGAATTTAAAATTTGTTTAAGTTTTGAATTTAGTTATGTATCTCATATTAAAGAGAGAAACATATCTAATATAAAGAAACATCTAAAATTTAGCAAAATAATACATGAACCCTAGTTTTTATTGGACAATATTAAAGTATTTTTTTTTTATGATAAATCGCACGTTTTTTAAATTATGATTCTAGAAGAACAAAAATCCGTCAAATACAGTAAGTAACACAGTGATGTCACATTATCTATCCATTCTAAAAAATATTCACTTTTGTAGTTATAATTCAATAAATATTTTGTTGACACAATTTGTAGTCACATATCCTATATATTGATCCAATATCTTTTTATGTTGTTGTCTTTGAATGTTGTTTTGTTGGACTAAACCTTTGTTGAATTTATAGTGTCACAAAGAATTTTGATAAATATTTTCAGATGCTTACATATATTTAGTAATATGATCCGTATGTATTATGGTAATAATATGATGTATATTAAAGATTATAAAAGTATTTTTTTATTACTTACATGTATTTGAAATTATGATTTTGGAAAAACAAATATTCATCTTTTACTTTTGTAATATTATATTGCCACACTGTTTATCCATTCTATATGAAGCCACTTAATGTAGTCACACTTTCAATGAACACTTAGTTGAAACTATTTAAAGTCACACATCTTATATTTTGAGTCAATATCAATTCCATATTATTTTTATAGAGTGTTGTGTTGCTTGAGTTACTCCTTATTGAGTGTTGTGTTACTTATTTTGATTCAAAAATTTATTGTACAAAATATATATCGTATGAAAAATTATATCTTGTCATAACGATATTTTGGAAAAAAAAATAAAAAAACAAGTGCTTGACTATCACGTTAAGCAACACACATATTATGGTAAAAAAAAAATGAATGAAAACGTAAATCGATGATTGGAGAAGAATAAAGAAGATACTGAGAATATAATTCAAAATTTAAGATGAATAATGTTAGAAATAATAAACGTTATTTTGGCACTAATACTATATTTCATCCATAAATTTAGGAAATATTTAATATAATATAACAAATTCATAATACAAATAATTGTCATATATAATATGCATGATTTAAGAAAATTGCAAAAATGTCAAAAAAAATCTAAAAAAATCAAAATGTATACTTGGACACAATAAATTTAGAAAGACTAAGACAAAATTACTTAACAATAAGAGTAACGTTCTTGGGTGGCGCTATTCTCACATCTTAAATCTTTTTTTCCACCTCACTTAATACTCTTACTTTAAACTATTAAATTCACTTCATTGATATTCATCTCATTAGTTACTAAACTTACTCCATCTATATTCACTAATTAAAAAATAAAATAATTCAATTTATGTCAACCTATTATATAGGCAATGATTAAAATTTTATTTTGGTGTATTATTTTGGTATGAAAATATTTTAGAAACAAAATAAAATTTAATATTTATTTTTAAAATATTTATTGAAATATACCAAAATAACTTAAAACACTTCAAAATATTTCAAAAATATTAGTGAAAATATTTTAAAACACTTCAAAATAAATATTTTTTCAATTAAATAGGGTGAAAATAGTCTCACCTAATGTTATTTGTATCTAAAAATTTGATTTTATTTATTAACATAATCATACAACTTTATTAAAATTATTAAATAAAAAAATAAAATTTAATATTCGGTAGGATTTGCGATCAATTCAAATTAGAGGGAATCAAATCAGCGGTCAAACTTTTAGCTCGCACAGCGTTACTCTTGTTTTAAAAGAACTGTATACCGGTAACTAACTCGGTGAAAAACTCGACTTTCAGGTCTTTTGTCCGTAAAGTGAGTTTCTAACTTCTAAAGATTTCCTATTGATCAAAAAAAAAAAACTTCTAAAGATTTCCAGCGAGCAAGTCTCTCTCTCTCTCCATCGATCCATCCAAAATTCTAGATTCTGATGCTTTTGAATCCAGTTGATACTTGTACGGCTTTTTGAATGGCGAATCATGGTCTCCGAGGTTTCATATTGTGGCGGCGAAGATGGGCTAAGAGAGAGTGGATCATCGCAGCCGCTGTGGGATTCGCCATACTCATCTTTGCTTTCTCTCTCCTCTCCAATTCAAGTTCCAAACAGTCCAAACCCAACCAGCCTTTTGATTCCTCCATCAATGAAGGGGTACCCTTTACCTCGTTGCGCAATGCCAAAGACAGAGGCGCCTGTAGTATTCTTCCCCCAACTCATTTTTTCAATTTTCACAGGTTTGTTCTCTACATGGAGCTGTGGTTTCATAATGTTTTTTTTCTCTCTCTCTTTTGCAGATTGTTTGGATGGTAGTATACCTGGGTACCATTTTCAGAAGGGTTTTGGATCTGGATCTGATAATTGGGTTCTTCACATTGAGGTTAGTGATTCTACTCTTTGCTTACCAATTTTGTTCTTTGTTCTCTTCTATTGATTGATTGTTTGAAATGATAGTTGCCACCCCTTAATCCCTCTCAACCCTTGATTATTGTCGGATTTCAACCCTGTCGACCATTTGATCTCTGGGTGTCTTTAATGGAATGCCATATTGCGAACACTATCACCAAGAATGAACTGTTCTTTCAAGGGAAAATTAGTTCTTTTGTTCATCATAATTTGCATACATAAAATACAAACTTACACTTGTATAATATACACACACCCAATTGAATTTTTCTATTGCTTTTGCAGACATATTTCCTGTTTCCGTCGAGTGTTTTATGTATATGTTATGCTCGGCACAGAGCACAATTTAGGACGATTGACTACTTTATTCAGTCAAAAACATTTTTGTTTTGTTATTTGGAGTTTTTTTACCACAGTGACCCTATTTGTGATCATTTACTTTTGTTTTGCTTTGTTTATTTTTTTTTATTGCTCTGTCATAATTTTGTAGGGTGGAGGTTGGTGCAATACAATAGAATTATGTTCTCTTCGGAAGAGAACTGCAGTAGGTTCTTCAAATTACATGGACCATGAAGTTCAGTTTTCCGGCATCTTGAGCCGTGACCCATCACAAAATCCTGGTAAACACCAAACTTAGAATCCGTAGCCTATTTTTTTTAATATTAGTTATCCAAAGGCTGTTTTTTTCTTCTCCCTTTTCTTTTCTTGTTAAGTTGTTTTTATATGGTCATACTCTTCCCTTAGTCTTTGTTCTGAAATTGTGATACTGCCTATTACTACCAGCACTAGTAACTAGACATGTAGCTCGATACGAAAAATGAGATTATTATCAAGTTTAACATATATGTATTGAACACTTGTTTATGCATCTCAATTGAACCCCAATCATTTGATTTCCGAAAACTATTTAACCTAGAATCCTAGTCACAATAACCTTGAAAACATTATGGGCATTTCCATATTACACATTTTGTATTAGCTTCCCACTTTTTGTTTGTTCCATCTGTAAATCATGCCAACTGGTTATCATCACTGTACAACTGAACAAATAATTGGAGTTTTGCTCATAGGCAGATTTGGATTGAACGTTCAACTTGAATTTGGCCGAAAATAGGGCAAACTTTTTTAAATAATAGTAATCATAAGCTTTGATGCTTAATAGTAATCATAAGCTATCCACATATTAAACACAATCTAAGAACTAGAACCCTTAGGTTTAAGTTTCATCTTTCGATTATTTTGTCTCTAAGGTTGCTTTATTGCATAGAGTTTGGATTGTAGATATCGAGATCGTTCCCAAGCATTCCAATGATCCGGGTTGTACAATCTGAATAAGTAGGTTCGTAACCCAGATCGTCCGAATTCCCAACCACTAGTTGTAACTCAAATTCTAATTCCACCCACAGTTTAGTTAATCACAGCTATATAACCCCAGCCCTAAGTTATAAATCTAACTAGTTATTTCTTTATTTTTGTTATCTTGAAACTTATAATTTGATTTAGTGTGATTTGCATTTTTAATAATAAAAATATGCAACCACTAGCTTTCATTATTTATAATCGTACATTGTCTTGGATTATGGTTTGTTTTAAAACTTTTATTAGAAACAGAGAAAAGCATTAGTTAATTTTTTGTATTTGGATGTAGAATTATACAAAATCTCATATAAAAGTGAAAGAGATTCTAATAAAAGTTACAAGTGAACTTCTGACCTAAAGGAACGTATCAACTTAGTTTACCCTCATCGCAACACATACAAAAAAAAAGGTATTGTACTGCATATCCATGCTTGCACCATGTACCAAATTGACCCACTATTCAGGTAGCATGATGTATTAAATCCTCCTTGAGCTGTCACAGCAAGCAATAAATTGGTTGATGTTAAGCATACAAGGTAGGTATATGTTTTGTTCTCCCTCTTTTGGTTTTGAGGGTGAGGCATGCACATGAGAGATTATTGTTGTCTATCCATTTAATGAACTTATGCATTTTGATATTTTGGGCATTCTTCAGATTTCTTTAATTGGAACAAAGTCAAGATACGATATTGTGATGGTGCATCTTTTGCTGGCCACCCTGAAAGTGAATTTAGAGTAAGTTCTGTGGAAATTTTTAATTGCTTCTTTGGAAGTAATTGAAAAAATGTGCATATCTTTACTTCTCATCTGGGGTAGAACTCAGAGAAGAGAGAGAGAGAGAGAGAGAGAGAGAGAG